ATCCTTATGCCTCTCATGAGCACTGGCTGGGGTGGCCAAGTGTACGGTTTTTGCCGCCTCTGTCCAGTTTAAAAAAAACAGAAAATACTGGACATGTAAAATGTCTGGTATTTTCTGTTTTTCTCGGACGGAAGGCCGGTGGGAACATTCTTCCCCTGCTGTGTCTGGCCAGGGTGGAGCAGGGAGCACGGGGACATGTAAAGACCTTTTTTTTTTTTTTGGTCCCCCCCTTTTTTTTTCCCCTCAACAAATTTAGTCCCTTGGATTTTTTTGTTTAACCAATTTTTTCCCCGCCAAGTTCAGTATTTTTTTTAAAGGATCTGGCAATGCTAGCACTGGCTCCTGCAGAGCTGCTTCTCTCCCTCCATGGCAATGCTGCCTCCTAGGCAGCAGTGGGGGAAGGGGGAGGAGGCAGAGGCAGCTCTACAAGAACCAGTACATACACGGAATTGGCTTAAAAGCTGTTTCTCCACACGTACAGGCTCCCCTTCCTGTTGCCCCTGTATCTAGGTGGCTTCCTGGGAGCTGGTGCTCACCTGCCCCCTTCCACACTGCTGCCTCTGATACAGATGCATTGGGAGGGGGACACCCTGCGTGTAACCATGCACACTTATACACTATCAACCTCACTTCCCATAAACCTATGCCAGGATGGGAGTTTCTGCATACTTCCTAAGATACATAAACAAGGCAACTCAGGCAGTCTCTTCATTTGTAAAGGAATGTAAGGAAACCATCCTCAATCGACTAACCACACAAAAGGTCAGCTTTCACCGAAACACTAATAACTTCCTCCAGAAACTCCACAACATTAACAACCTCCCTTCAGAACACCAGGCTTGTCAGCAACATGTATGTCACCTTTCTACACACCAGGAGTGGGGAATTTTGGGGGGGTCTGGGACCACTGACCCACAAAAAAAATCAATCAGGAGCCACACTAAAGTAAGAAACAACAACCACCCAAAAAACCCAAACTCTTACTGGTCAGGCCTCCCAAATGAGGAAAAAAATGCTCACAGATGTGGCGTCCCAATAGATTAGCAGAAAAAAGACATTCACCTCACTATACTCAAGCTCCACCCCAGAGCCTAGAGGAACTAAGGCTCTGGGGTGGGGCCAAAGATCAGGGGTTCAGTGCACAGGAGGGGGCTGCCAGGGTGCAGGCTGGGGTGGGGTTATGGGGTCTGGGCAGAAGGTAGGATGCAAGAGTGGGCTGACAGTGAGGATACAGAGGCTGGGTGGAACAGAGGATGCAGGAAAAAGGTTGGATGTGCAGGGTCTGTGTGCACACCTAAAACTACCTTCACTAAACAAGAACACTTCATCAAAAAATAGATTTCACTATGGAGTGGGCCACCCAAATACCCTGGAGAACTTGCTTCAATACAGGGAAAGAAAGAAAATACACCTCTATGCAACACAAGAATCCACAGAAGGCACCCTGAAACAGTTAAAGCCCATATTTCATAGGGAGTCCACCCTGAAAGAAATCTTTCCTAAACACCCTCTTCTGGCTTTCGAACAACCCTCCTCATCTCAACTCTGCCACCACAATCTTGCCAAGCTCATCATTAGAAGCAAACTCCCCATAGACCAGGACCCACCAATTTAAAGGAGCATCAGACTCTGCCAGAAAAATGGATACAAATCCTGCAGATATATCTCCACTGATGTGACAATCAATACTAGCCACAACACAGCTTTCAAGATTCATGGGTCTTACATATGCTTATCACAATGTCATTCACTTTGTGCATTGCACTAAATGTACCAATAATAACTATGTGGATGAAATCAGTCACTACGCTTTTGAATTAACTCTTTTAGAAAACAATAAAAGACAAAAAATGCCATATCACTAACAGCTGAACATTTCTCACAAAGTGATTACTCCATGTTTGCTCTTTCAACAGTCATCCTCAAAGAAATCTGCACAACACCTTCAAAAGGTGAGCCTGGGACCTTAAATTCATAACTTTGATGTACGCCAGAAACAATTGACTCAGCAGGGAGTCTTGTTTTATGGTTCATTACAATAATTTGTAATGCATTTGACTGCCAGCTACCCTTAATTGCCCACTTCAAACCTGGTATGTCTAACAATCTAATCTGTAATTGTCCACTTGTTTTCAACTGGCCTCCTGCAACATATGTTACACTTTATGCTTAACAATCTGTACCAGGTTGTATTTAATTCAGATATCCTGATTACCTTCCCCAGACTGGAAAAAGAACTCTCTGTAGCTCAAAAGTTTTTACCTTCCACCTGCAGAAGTTGGTCCAATAAAAGATATTATCTCACTTGTGTCTCTGTAAGCCACTTTGAAATCTTCAGATGAAAGGTGTTACAGAAACACAAATATATTAACTAATAGATTTACGGGGCATTGCTCAGGTCTGTAATTCAGGAATTCCATCAAGTGTATTTTGTTTCTTTATCCCTATAATCTCGGTTTCATCTTGATTCGGTCTCTTTCAACATTCACTCAATTTTGTCAATTATGAGGCCTATACTTGATTTGATTCTGGGGGGATATGATAGAGGTATATAAAATCATGAGTGGTGTGGAGAGTGTGAATAAAGAAAAGTTATTCATTAGTTCCCATAATATAAGGACTAGAGGACACCAAATGAAATTAATGGGTAGCAGGGTTAAAACTAATAAGTGATAATTCTTCTTTACACAGCGTGTAGTCAACCTGTGGAACTCCTTGCCAGAGGAGGCTGTGAAGGCTAGAACTATAACAGAGTTTAAAGAGAAGCTAGATAAATTATGGAGGCTAGGGCCATAAAAGGCTATTAGCCAGGGGGTAGGAATGGTGTCCCTGGCCTCTGTTTGTCAGAGGCTGGAGACAGATGGCACGAGACAAATCGCTTGATCTTTGTCTTCGGTCCACCCCCTCTGGGAACCTGGTGCTGGTCACTGTCAGCAGACAGGCTACTGGGCTAGATGGACCTTTGGTCTGACCCAGTACAGCCCTTCTTATGTTCTTATGTTATGTTCTTATGATTATTCTGTCTCTTTTCTGTTTGGTTTTATGAGAAGCAATCCCATTCTGGACACATCCTGTTTTCCTAGCACAACTAAACCCTTATATTGCTTTAACTTATAAGAGAAAGCTGAATACCAAATTCAGTGATCTTAGCTCTTGCCGTTTAGGAAGAGTTCTTGATCAAACAGACAGACAACTCCCTAAAATATATAGTAGATGAATGTATAATTGTGTCTCTGTGAAATTCTGCATCTTTTCTCACATAGACACTTTAAATGACTTTAAAACTAATCCTAAATGAGTGAAATGTGGCAGATCTGCTCACCAGGGTTGAATTATGAAAGTGGAACATGATAGATTCTGAAATTTTTATGATACCACGTTGCTCTCTTGGACATTCATCCTAATAGCAAAGTTTGAAGGGCTAGTGGTGGTGGCAGCAGAACATAAGTGGTGAGTCTCTGAGTTCTGTTGATACAGAATATGTGACTGGAAAGCTAGCCTATCTTCTAGATCCTTACAAGGTGAATTTGGCAGAAGGGAGGAGGGAACAGATAATCTTAACCCTGCCTGCTTCCCCTGTCCCTAAGAAACAGTAATGAAGAGAATGAGCCAGCTGGCCACTCTTGAACATAATGCAGGGATGTAGTCATAATACATCACTAGATTGAATAGCAAGGAGATAGAATGCCTCCAAACTTCTTCTTCATAAAAGATGATTAAAGGGGAGAGAGAGGCTCATATCTAGTGGTTATCAAGGGAACCAGATAGCTCTTGGTTCAGACTGAATAGTATACATATTTAGGGGATTTAATATCACCCAAAAGCTATATCCCTAAATATCCCAATGAAAACTCCAAGATACGTTTGATAGATTTAAGCGTAATAGACAAAGGGAGAAATTTCCAAAAGTAAGAGATTTAGGAACACAAGTCTTATTGAAAGTCAATGGGATTTGAGCTTCTCCGTGACTTAAGAATGATTGAAACTCCTACCTTAAGTATAAAAGTATTTTAAAATGACAAGCAAACATGTCAAATGCAGAGGTATATATGTATCCATGACAGTGTAATAAATACATTGATAAAAGTAGTCTGGCATGAGTGATTGTACAACACACCAGCACAAATTCATTGCCTAATGAAGAGATCTAGGGACAGGACAACCCTGACTTTACAGGAAGCCTCAGGAACATTTAAAATAGCATTCCATATTTTGAATGGTGTCTTTCATAAATAAAAGCGACAAGGAGTCCTAAGGCACCTTATAGACTATCAGATGTATTGGAGCATAAGCTTTCGTGGGCAAAGACCCACTTCGTTAGATGCATGTTGTGGAAATTTCCAGAGGCAGGTATAAATATGCAGGCCAGAATTCTCCTTTATACCTGCCTCTGGAAATTTCCACTACATGCATCTGACGAAGTGGGTCTTTGCCCACGAAAGCTTATGCTCCAATACATCTGTTAGTCTATAAGGTGCCACAGGACTCCTTGTCATTTTTGCAGATCCAGACTAATACGGCTACTCCTCTGATACTTTCATAAATAAGTGTTTGTAGAGAGGGCATCTACAGCAGTGAAACTTCATGAAGCAGTAGAGAAGAGAGGGAAGCACTCTCCTACTCATCTGTTCTCTCTTCATCCTCAGAAAAATAAGTAAAGAAGTTAATTTTAGCAAGGGGAATTGGATTCCCTTTATCTCTCCTCATTGGACCTTGATCACTTTTTTACATACCGTCTAATCTTCTCCATATCCTTTTGTATCTGTATTTACATATTTTTCCATTTTTAGCTTTATTGTATTTGAAACTGTTATGAACTGTCTGCATAGCCAGACTCGGCCTTTGTTTCTGTCTAAACTTCTGTGAAACTGGAAAAACCTGTTTGCTGATTTTTTTAACCTTCCCTATTGGCTAAAAAGGTGTGGAGTAGGTGGTCCTTTGCCTTCAGCTGTGATGTCACTTTACATAATCACAGCCTTCTTTGTCCATTATTCCAGAAGCTTTCACTGGCCTCTGTGTTGTGAAGACTTTGGTGATTGGTTCAATACAGTTCATTTGTAATTTATGGAACAGTTTTGTGTGATTGCTTTATTTTTCTTCAACCAAAGCAGAGAAACAGTGATTTTACGTGGCTCTGTTCCAGTCTTTATGCTTACATTTTATAGCTCTCACAAAGGAGCTACTGTTGGCCGTTAAGTTTTGTTGTGCCATGCAGTTTGTCTGCACGTAGAAAATAACTTAGCAGTTTTGCATTGGCTCTACAGTACTATGACAGTGTTGGATAAATGAAGATCTGTAACATACACGAACATGGGAGCAACAACTTAATGCAAAAAGGGGTGAAGGTGGGAAGCAGCTACACTTTTCGTCTCTCTCCTTTTTACTCTCGTGTTTTTCATTGGTAGCAGAACAAGTAAAATAAAAATGGACCAGCTGTGTAAAAAGTGTGTGAAGTTGCTTCAGGATTTTGTCTCTCTTGTGAAGAGGATAGCCTCAAGTCTGATACAGAACATTAAGGAGTATTTAATTCTAATAAGTAAATGTTCCTGCCTAAAACAAAAGGGCTCTGAATCCAGACAGCTATACAATCCTGTCCTTCAGCCACATGAAAAGGAGACGGCAAGAGAGTTTCTGCAACACATTGAAACAGGTGAGGTGAGGTTATTTGGGAGAGATTTTTTTCTACATGACAACTGTGCTGTTTGTTCCAACTTGGTTTTGTGCGGTTCAGTGCCATGATGCAGCCATACAGCTATAGTGCTTTTCCTGCTGTGTTTGGGAAACTGAGGGTTCATGTGGTATAATAAAGTGCTGCATCAAAATGATCAATAGCTTTCCTTTGTGCCAAAGCAGCAAATGCAATCCCTGATTTGCACACAAAAATCATCTTTCATAATACAGAGTCTTCTAGAAATTATGGCTGAAGTTTATAAGGTTAGTGGGAGGGACCTGAATCTTTGCCTTGTCTCACCTTCCTTTTTATTGGAGTTACAGTGCTGGAAACAGAATGTGATCCCGCTCTTTAATCACCGCACAGCTACAAATTAAGTTTAGGTATGTGACAGGCTTTTAGAGGATGTTAGTGTTTTATAAAACTTTGTTCTGCTGTGGTACTCACAGAATGTATTCATTTAACAGATCCACTCTAGTCAGTTAGATTCACATTAATTTTCTCATATGTTAGCACACTATCTTTGTAGTCACATATGTTATGTAATTTATTCATTTACTGGTTTGTCACATCAGTAAGGGTCTTTGTGTTTTCATGTATCAGAGCTGGGTTTGTGCACTAAAATATTATTATAAGAATTATCCTGTATCAGAATACACGCATTCCTACCCCTCTGCCAAGTCTGTTTTTGAGGCTGTTGTGGTCCTACAAAACAACAAAAATGCAGCCTGATTCTGACAGGACACTGTGTGTGTGATGTTGGACTGGTTCAATTTTCAGTGGGATTCGCGGGCCCTCTGCTGCTCATGGACCAAGTCCACAAAGTATAGTTTCCATTTATCTTGACAGAGGGGGATGTAAGGAGGAGGATGTTTTGTTGAAACAAAATAGGCATATATGATCAATATGAAGACAAGCCGTACTGAATACAGTAAAAGTTGGATGATCTGTTTTGCATCAGATAATTGTTGAGGAAAAAGGCAGGATTCTAAAGGAGCGAACCTTTACATTAACGTATCTAATACCCTGAGTAACCCTATCTTATTTCTGTATGTCTACACAGCAAAGTTATTTTGAAATAGCCATTATTTTGAAATAATTTTCCTAGTATCTACACAAGCCAACTGCTATTTCGAAATTAATTTGAAATAGCGGAGGGCTTATTTCAAAATTGGTAAACCTCATTCCATGAGGAATAGTGCCAATTTTGAAATTGCAATTTTGAAATAAGCACTGTGTAGATGCTTATTTCGAAATAGGGTGCTTCCAGCCCTTCCCAGGGAGCCCTGCTGGCTGCCCTGGCCACAAGGTTACTTCTGACCTGATGCCCTGCTGGAACCAGTTCCGACTGGCCTTAAATGTGATTCAGTGTCCAAGCAGTGTGGACGTGCTATTTCGAAATAGCGAAAAGCTATTTCAAAATGCATTTTGTGTGTAGACGCATTATTTCGAAATAACTATTTTGAAATTAGATATTTCGAAATAATGCTGTAGTGTAGACATACCCTCAGAGATTGTAGCAGCTACCTATACGCTGGGGATAGTTCCTTCTGAAATGCATTGCCTGTCTGTCCACATTTTCAAAATTTTCACTGCACTTTTAAAAATCTCCTGGCCACTGTAAAAACACAAAGAGAGAACAGAAAGATGAAAGTACAGCTTCTTATCATTAATAAACAAATGTATATTACTGGTTTTCTTCAGCCAGAAGTTGTCAACCTTTGCAAATCAAAGAGCCAAACTACATCAATATTCAGGACAAGTGGTCAACAAAGAGCCATATAAAAATCCCCATTTGCATGACTGAAAATATATAACTTAATATTGTTGATAATTGACGATGATTAATGGTAGCATAAATGAAACATTGTACTCACAGACTTTATTTAACGGGACTTCTGCTGCTGCGACTTTTCACACATTTCTTTAAAGTTTACATCATAACTGGCCAAATTCAAGTTCGTACATGCATTCAAGTTACATAACACGTTTTTAAATTTTTGAATTAATTTTTCATTTTAATTTAAAAAGTTACATTGTATTTTGGGAATGACAAAAGAGCCATATTTGGTTCCATACTGAGCCATATTTGGCTCCATTTAGTGTGACGTTTACAGAAAAGATATGAAAACTGTCAAAGTACCTGTATGAGTGATTCCAGTTTCTTGTCTAAAACTTTAACTATACTATAGTGTTCAATGGAAAGCGGTCTCCGGAGAGGCAACGTGCAGGCTATCTGTGCAGCCAGCCTGTAGCAGCTACTGGAATCTATTAGTTGCAATAATGAATGATCACAATCTAGTGTGCCTCATTTGCACTTGGAATTTAGCTAGTGGGATCTTAACCCTTTGTGGACCCAATGACCATACCCCCTGCTTACTGACAAAGTCTTGTACGTGTACCCACAGCATGGGACATGGAGTGAGAAATTCCTCAGTACAGCACATTATTATGCCTCTGTATGCTTTATTAATTAAATATTGGCATTATAGAGCATATAAAGGCCCAAATCAGGATCCATTGGCCTATTGTACTAGGCTTCTACAAGTAACATCTTACAGTCTTCGTGCAGGCCACAGGATTTCACCTTGCATACTAAAGCTTTAATAATGACTGATAGAAAACTCTGAAAAACTCTTTAAGACATAGCAAAGGCTTTAGCCCGGGTAGGTAAGATGGTGAAATTCCTGGTGACTTTCCTATATTACACACTACAAATTAATGTGCTGGACAGCAGAAAACCATGTTATAACAGATCAGCCTCATTTGGCTACAGCTGTAGCAAAGTCCAGAACTGACCAAGGCATAGTGTAGAAACCTAGCCTATTCATAAAAGGGGTTCAGGAATTTTAAAATAGTCTAGGGCATATTGACACCCACCATGAGTCTGGGGGCAAAGTGTGGGGGGGGCCAGATCTGCACCCCAGAAGAGGCGGAGACTCGGGCAGAAGGGATGGTGCGGAAGGCACTCAGCCCTTAGTGCTGCCCTGAGCGCAGCACTGAGCCCTCCCCACTCAGGCCTCAGAGCCCTGTGGAACAGCATTCCTGTGTGTTTCAAAGGGGCCCAGAGTGCCCAGCCACTGCTACTGCATCAGCAGCAATGGCCAAGAATTCTGGGCCCCTTTGAACCATCAGGCCCCTGTGCAATTGTCCCATTTGCCCCCCACACCGTGTTGGCAGGCCTGCCTAGCCAATAAATGTTAAAGGCCTGATTTTCCACTGTAATTTACACCTCAGCAAAATAGATCTCTAATGACAGAACGGTAGCATTTTACCCAAGTATAAAGGACTACTCAACATTTAAGGCAGTGGCCCAGAGAGTTATAAAACCATAAGGGGTATAGTTGAAACTTTGAAGTCTTTATTAGAGAAAGTGATAGAAAATAATTGTACGATAAAGGTGACTGAATGCTCTAAAAATTCACACAGTTTCCCACTAGTTATTGCACTAAAAATTTACACAGCCAAATACCCAGGGTGAAGCAGGGTTGGGGGCTGCGGGGCTGTCCCACAGAGATCGGGGTTGGCAGCCAACGGAAGCAGGGTTGGGGGCAGCGGGGCTTTCCGGCAGAGATCGGGAAGGGCAGGCGGCAGAACCAGGGCTGGACAGGGGGCGGGAAGGCTGACCGAAGGAGTTGAGGAGGATGGGAGAACCAGCTGCCAGAAGCGGGGCTGGTCAGGGGGGTCGTCAG